GAGGAGGAGGAAGAGGAGGAGGACGGTCGGACGAACGGACGGACGGACGGATGGACGGACGGTTCGAGGGGGGAGAAGAGGGCAAAATCGATCGACACGTCCTCTCGGGTACGCGGCGAGGCGCACTTTGCGCACCGCGCACAGACAACACCGTGGCGAGGCAAACCCGTGTGCTCCTTTGCCACTCGAGCCGGTAACCCGTACAATTAATTTTCACCTGCTTCCCTCGCGGCTCGGCCTTTCGCGGAAGGATGTACGCGTTGTGCAGAGAGAGAGAGAGAAAGAGAGAGAGAGAAGGAAAAAGAGGTTTAACAGAGGCGACGCGACCCGAAGCACATTGGTGTGCGTTAGCGGCTGCGTTCGTGCGCGCTACGTGACACGCTCGCCGGTCCCAGACGTAACGGTCGCGATCGTTCCGCGAAAAAGATGCGCGTGTACCGGATGAGAGCAGAGAAAATGGCCTGGATTATTTTCGCTACTGGTAGATACGAAAATCGCGAGAATTTTAAATCCTTATACGTGAAAAATTGAACTTTCTTTTTTTTATTTTTTTATTTTTAATCGAATATGATATTTCGATAATCTTTTTTTAAACAATTTTGAATGGATGAATGGCTTTTTTTTTAGGATCATATAGGTTAAATATCCTTTAAAATTTATTTTTTTGCGATTATTTTTAGAGAGATTGGAGACTTTTAAAAATATATTCATTAAATAACAGCATAACAGACGATAATTGATAATTTGTTGATATCGTTTCGCTCAGATTGTGTACGTAATTATGTTAAGGTTATATTTAGTCGTGAAATCGTACCATATGGAATACGGTTCATATTAGGGAATACCCTGGAGCGCAAGAGTTACATTGTATTTTCCCGAGAAAGAAGCAACCGGTATTGGTTAACAGGAAGAACTCCATCTCTCTCTCCACGAGAGACTACGGCTGTTGCGAGTATACCTCGCAACTCTGATATCGCGCCGGTTAAATAATCGCAACTTCGAAATTCCATCGTGCTTCTTCGATTTATTCTCCATTGGAAAGTTGCGCGGCAAAGTCTCTCGGAAGTTTGCAAGCTCCAGAAACCCGGAATCCTATACGAAGTTCAAAGTCTCGTAACTTTGCCGTATCCATATGTATTTTCCCCCGAACCAGTGAAAGTGTTTTCCCTGCATTAAAATAGAATAACCTTAACCCTAGAACGTAAATATTTACCATTTTTATTAAATACTTTTATTATCGATTATCGATCAAATAAGCATTTTTTTTTTTTTATATATTTATCTTCATTTCGATATCAAAAATTCTCATTCACTCTACTTCTATTTATAAAATATCATTGTTAAAACAGTATCCTCACCTAATAATACGAAACAAAATATCGTATTCTAAAATAAATAAAAATCTATAAAAACTATATTGTGAAATATAACCATATATTATCTACTGATCCTTTCTTTTTAATTGGCACAATCAAATAAATATATCAAAGAATGTGCATGCATCTTAAACGCATCCTTAAATCGTATGATAAATAAACATCACGAATAACGTTCGAGAAAACGATTGGAATATTCTGGAGGATTAGCAGTGTAATTGTTGGACACTTGGATGAACAATGGCCGGGGTTACCGATTGTCTTCCGAGGGGGAAAGACTTGTTTACTGTTCGACGGCCGATGACGAATACCAACATCGAAACAGAGGAGTCGCAGTTTTCGAAGAAAACGGGCGCAGGATTAGGTGGACGGAATCGACTATCGGTTATCCCGACACGGATTATCGAAACCCTCTCCCTCCACCTTATTATCGAGGCCCGGACTTTTACGACGCTTCTTCCCTCGGACGAGGGCCAGCTTAAGTCACGTTCAGGTCGATTTGTGTCCACAGTTGCACGAAAGTACGAGGGAAAGTACTCGATATTTTTCACTTTTGTTCGGTGCTTGTAAAATTTTACGATCGACGAATTGTAAAATTTTTCGTTAAGTCGGAATAATCATCAGGATGAATTATGGTGATTCACTCGCCAGGTAAATTTCAAAAAACTACA